CGCACTGCAATTGTCGCAAAAAGACCAATTTGAACATATTCTGGATTTTATAGAGTTCCAAAAGATACACTTGCCGCATAGCAAATACCTCAAAGAACATTTACCAAGGAATAGAATGGGGCGAATGATGGTTAGTTCCTTTATCATTTCCTTCGACATCGTCACAAGTGCCAACAATCTATCTGGACATGCCACTTAAACTGTCCAACTGTTCGTACCATTTCCCATCCAACATCAATATCGGAAAATAAAACGACAACAAAAAAAGGCACCTAACAAAAGAGAAAACTTTTGCACACGCATACACACACACACACACACACACACGTTACACGTAGGCCGTAAGAAACCGAAAGCAGAAAAACGGCACGGAACCCATAGACAATTTCCGTTTCCTGTTGTAAGATGAACAGCTGCTGCTTGCCTGCGGGCTTTCTTTCTCTCTCTCTCTCTCTCTCCTTTCAGTGGGTGGGGATGCCTCTACCAGCTGTCGCCTCCACTTTCTGTTGCTTCTGCTGTTCTTTGGGAATGGCGCCAAAAGGTAATAGAGCCAATAAAAATGTCCAGCAATTGCGGTGAATATGGGTGACCCTTCAGAGCATCCTTAAATGGAAGAGGTAAAGTGTTTACGCTGCTTAGACACACTGAAAGATAGTTAGAGAATGAGAGTAGATGTTCTAGCAGCTTTTAAAGAAATTTAAGAAATTAAAACGATAAAAACGATAAGCCTCTGTGTAATATGCAAAGATTTCACCATCAACTGATTGAAACCCTCTCAGACTGTTAGCAATCTTAGCCCCTGGCCCCTGCACACATTATCCCTCATATCATCATGGAAAAGCCAAAGCTAAGCAGCAGCATTAGTCAGGCACTTAGTATCTACTACACAACCTGGTCAAAAACCCATCATATGAGCCACTTTATCCCACACATGGTCAAACGTTTTGCCTGCCTTTTAATGCGTTTAAGCGCATTTACTTGGCCTAAAGGGAGAGAAAGAGAAATTGAGAAAGAGATAGCGACTTGCTTACTTGGAATTCAAGTTGGAAAATTGTGCCATAGCACAGACACAGCCACACTCTTTCTGTGCCACTCTCTCACTTTTCCCACCCAGCCCCACTTGTTGCCTGACTTTCTCTCGCCTTCAGAGTCACCCGCACCCGCACCCGCACTTTGCCCTTGCTACCACCCCCACATGTGAGAGCTGATTATGTTAATGCGTGGACCCGTTTAATGCGATGCCAAGTCGAATGGCATTTTGTGGTGGCAGCAAAATTGAATTAAAAAAAAAGAAGAATAAGAGAAAACAACAACAAACAGAAAGGGAAAATGTAAGATTAAAAGTGAAGGGGGGCGGGGAACTACCAGTGTTAAAAGTTATCTCGCTCTCGCAATTAAATTAAAAGTTGGTCAATTTTATTACGATTTTATGACATTCACTTAAACAAAAAAAACCGAAAAAAAACTTCAGTGAAATTACCAACAGGTCAGAGGTATCCTCCAGCTTCATCTGTATGTGTGTGCGTATGTCTGTGCTCATTACGTGGCATTTTCTTTTAAGGTTTTCCGTTCGGTCTTAATGAAGTTCAAGGAAAGAGGGATAATGAAAATTGTCAAAGGGTTTTGTCTCACAAAAAGTCTGGTCAAATCAAAAGGATTACCGAAAGATTTAGTTTGTTTTATTGAAATTCACCCTTTACGGCTAAGACACACTGGAATAGACCGAGAGAGTATGAAAACGATGTTCGAGCTGCTGCTGAATGATTTTATTTGACATCGCATGCTAAAGCAAAAATCCATTAAAAATCATTGCTGCCTTCTAACTCGAGTGTCTCCTCTCTCCCACTGTGACCTAGCAGTAAAGAGTGGGGCTGCTACAGAGAGCATCCCAAATTCGTACACAGTATAACAGACCTTTGGTCTTCCTTTTCTTCTCTTGTTTCCACCAGCAGGCAGGTCCTTAATTTTACTTTACCTTTCCTTTTGTTTGCTTTAATTTCCACTTTTGGCCTTCTTATCAGGAGTAAATGAAAAGCCCGAGTTGACCCGCATTTTAAAGCTGCTTAAATGGCTGCTGGGAAAGACGACCCCGCATTGAAATGAATGAATATTTTGTCTTGCGGGGGTTTGGATCGTCAAAAGTGCGGGGTAAATGCGGAGGGCAATTTGCGGGCAGGGCAACAAACAAAAATTCATTAAAATTTTGCATATTTATAAAACTTAAGAGTGACCAACCCTCCCACACCACCCCCTGCTTGTTGGCGCCTTGGGGCACTTTTTGTTGTTTAAAGCTCTCGCAACCAGTTCAGGGGGTCCAACAAAATTTCGATTTTTATTAACAGTGATGGGTATCCAAATTTTTAGGAGATGTTTGTAACGCATGGAAAGTACAAAAAATAATTAATAATAATAATTGCGAGCACTGCTAAGAAGCATCAGCACAATTCTAGAAATTATTCGGCTGTGTGTTCATGCAGAGCTCAAATACAGAATATTACTATGCCTGCTCCTACCCCTAAGAAGTGTGGATCTTTAAGAGAGGGTATCTAAAGTTTAGGTACCTGAAAAATGAATGTCTGGCCTCTATTCATGTTTATGCCTCGTAATGTGGCAAAGCTTAAGAGTTTGCTAGCCGAAAAGTATGCTGCAACAACGAGAGAAAACTCCCTGCCCCTCCACAGCCACTCGAGTGGAGAGTGGTGACTGGCTAGTGGGAGGGAAAAGTTTTTAATATGCGGATAGCTTTAATTAAATATGTTTTCCACTCGGCGAACTCAAAAACGCAAAAGAAAAACAAAAGAAAAACAACAGCCAAACATTTTGTATGTGTTTGTGTGTGTGTGTTTTTTCTTTTAGAGGTTTTCCGCATTTTTTCCTGTACTCAAAACATAAACATAAATGTTGGTCGATGTGGGCAAGCAAACAAGTTTTTTCCCTTATTTTTTTTTTCTCCTATTTATTTTCATCTTTTCCGCTTGCGTTTTTTCTGCTTTTGCTTTTTAAGCAGAAAAACTTCTTGCCTGAAGGATAATTTGTATATATGTATATGTATGTATGTATATTTTGTGCTGCTTGCTTACGCCACTTGTTTTATTTTAGTAGGTTCTAATTTTTCTGTTGACTTACTTTTCTTGTTTTTGGCATACATTTTCATTGTGTTTTGTTTTTTTTTTTTTTAAATATTTGACCTTAAATATGGGTAATGTCCTTAAGATAGGAATTTATGGCAGTTTCAGATTTTATTCATTTTTTTTTTAATTGTTGCAGCTGAAATCGTTGAAGTTAAAGGCTACAAATTATAAACTGGTTTTATTCTTCATATGATAGACACGCACAACTGTGCCCCCCTGATTTTCTCCCCCAACATTCTACCATTCAGAGCTCTTTCCATTTATTAATTCCATTATAAAGTTAATATTGCATTTTCACCAACAAAAAAAAAAAACGAATGAAAACTTCAACCCGAAACGAAACGCCTTTCCATATAATTTATTTAATATGAAATTTCTTTCGTTTATTTATTTCCCTGTTTCGTTTTTCCTTTCTTCTTTTTTTTATTATGGTTTTCCTTTGTTCTTTTGCCTCCTTCCATTGTTCGTCGATGGTTATTCGGTTTCTCCACGATTTTTTTTCCGCCTACGAAGTGAGGTTTAAATAAACATAAAATGGGCGACGACACGTTCATGGTATATACTCGTATCCTTTGCATATGCATGACTTCCCCCCCTTTACCAGGACGTCCCCATTCCTCACATTGAAAGAACGCAAAGAAAAAAAAAAACCAAACAAATTGACATGTCGGCGGTCGAGTTTCTGTTTTTGTTGCTTCCAAAAATTGTTGTAAAATTCATCGGATATGAAAATCTAATGATTTGTAAAGGCGTCGATAAGCGTAGAGCGGGAAGGGAAGTAAGGGGTACTGGTGCCCTAGGGCCTTGTTGAGAAAACTTTTACCCCCTTGATGATGTGTAGGGGGTAGGGTAGGGGGGCGAAAAAGGATTTACAGCATTTATTGAAATATTAATATTTGCTCTACTCGTGTGTTGCAAACTTTTTGGGAGGGTCATACCAAATACACACACACACACACACACACTCAAGTAAATTTAAAGGCAGACCAAATGTTTGTCGAAGAAAATTTCACGTGCCAAAAAAAGGAGCCATTCTGAGACGGAGACCCGTTTTTTGACCAAAAATCAATTGAATGTTATGGCTCTTGGGCTTTTGTGGCTACAGCTTTTAGTGGCTGTCGTTCAATGCAGAGAGGGAATATTTGTATTGTAGTGAAGGGAGAATCCCCATCCTGTAAATATATAAATCTATAATTGCATCAGACACAAAATGGAATGGCAAAAGTAAATTAATTTAATTAAATATTTGGGTTTTAAATAAGAACATTTTTCACCCTCAAGAATTCAATCGTATTTAAAAATTTTAAATTCTTTTTAATACGGCTATGATAAATATAAATATAAAATAATTACAGATAGAAGTAGTAATTAAATTTGTAGGTAATATATATGTATATATGTACATAAATGATATATGAAATATCGGTGAAAAAATAATCTTGTAAAAATATTACTGTAAAAGACAAAGACTTTCGACTGCTTTATGGGTCATGACAGTGGACGGCCATCTGGAGGGAGATTTTCCTACTCAATGCTGGATTAACAGCCATTATATTTTTGCAAAACTCTCTGCTCCAAATGGAGTGAAAATTTATTGTGTAAATTTTATTTATTTAAGATTTATAGATTGCATATAGAAATGTGTGTGTGTTGTGTGTGCTACTTGAGAGCTGAGATTTCTGTTGGCATTAAAAAATATTTACAGTGTCTAGACTTTGCGGAGCATAAATCAAATGCATTCGAGAGGGGGAAAAACTTCGTGCGTGTGTGTGTGTGCTTGTGTGTGTGTGTGCAACGTGTGGAAAAGTGTCTGCTGCAAGGAAACCACAAACAAAAAAAATAAAGAAACGAGAAAAACTGAAACAAAACTTTGATTTTTGCGAAAGTTAAAATCGCTTAATGTCTTTTAAACTACAAAATCGATTGGTAATTTGGTGGGTAAAATTTAAAACAAATATAAAATATAAAAAGAAATTAAGCGCCGCGACGATAGCCACTCGGATCCACAACAAAACGCATGCCAAAGGCAAAACGATCTGTCGGTATGCTCATGACCACACTCAAGCCCATTTCCAGCGGAAAACTGCTGAGATATCTATAAATGAAACAAGCAGAAACATTACACAGAGAGAAATGAAAATTCGTTGGATTCAGGGAAACCCACTTGGTCCACATAATGCCCACAGAAGCATCCGAATCGAGCATGCCATGTACCGCTGCGTCCCAAAAGTTCCATTGATAGCCAATTGTGGCAATTGTCTTGTTTGTGCTATAATTGTAGGCCAACAGATTGGCCATCTGTATCTGTGGATAGATGCGCTGCCAGTAGCTAATATCGATGCCGTTACGCGAGGCTGAGGCCCCGACAGCATAATTGTGATGCGAATAACTAGTGGGTAAGACGATATTAACCAGATGACTGAACCAGTAATGGCATATATATGTTACCGCGCTGCCAAAGCATAGTCCGTCGATAGTTTCTGTGGAGTATTCCACTCCAACAGCAGCTCTCCGCCCAGTGCCACATGTGTGGTAAATGCCCGCATCATTGATAATGTACAGCGGCCACTATCCTTGCTAACATTATAGAAATTAGCGGACCAAGTGTCACAGGGGCGTGTCAATTCAATGGTATATTGGCTATCGACGGGCGTCTTCTCGTTGCCCTTCTGCAGGGTGGCCTCCAGGCGCAGGCATTCAAACGGATAGTAAAGTATATTCAGATTGGCAGCTTGCGTCGACGGATGTATATCGCCAATAATTGTGGGTGTAAGCTAACACAAAAGAGAGAGATAGAGCGAGCAGGAGAGAATTTTCTATATAGGAAAGATTGTGTCTATCTGCCACTTACCAAAACATCATTTGCGAGTCGAAATGTATAGAGACCGCCAAAGCGAAAGCCCGCTGCCTTCACGTGACTCAACACCCAAGAGGCTGTGATATATTTGTGCGGTGCCAGACGATGCATATAATCGAGTTCGAGGCCATCAAAGAACTTGGGCATCACTTGCTGAGCCAAACTGTGAAGATTTGCCACATTGCCGGGATTCTTTCTGGTGCAGGCACCGCGGATCCACTGAAAGCAGCGGGGAAAATATATGCCGGATTTGTCCTGCTCATTATATGGGGGGCAACCTCTGCAAGACATTGCAATAGAATCAAAAATATATCAGAAATCAAGCAAAAACTGTAACGTTGGTAAAAATTTGGGGTGTTTTGATCTGTTTTGTTCTATGTGCTGGGTAGCAAAGGGGGAAATGTCTGAATGAATGTCAGCCCAAGCAAATGCTACATAGATTTCGTGTGGAGTTTTTATCAAATATTTATGATATACATATGTATATATGTATATGGTTAAGGAACCCACTCAAGTGAAAATATCATCAGCTGTCAATTGTCATTTTATGCGCCATTTCATATGGCTCCTCCTTCATGGTACGGTATGGTATGGTTTTATTTTTCCTTTTCTTCTGTCTCTTGGCACACCATTAGGCGCATTTCACACTTTTTACATTATTTATATGCTCCATGGTCCTTTTTTGGTTTTTATTCCATCTGTCTGTCGCCGCCACTGTTGCTCCTGTTTCTGCTTCTCCTCCGTTTCATGAAATATTTAAACATTAAGTCCAAGAGTCCTGGCTTTTAAAGGATAAAGGACAACAGCAACGACTACAACGACGACAACGACGATAAAGATGATGATGATGCATGGAGACGGGTATAGGCGTGTCTATTGAGGTTCTTTTATGGCTTGAGGAGAATTATAGTTGCAGCTGATCCCAGACGACAAATCAGTGAGTCGCAAGCGTTAGTTTCTGAATTTAATTTGAATACAAATTGAAGCAGCAAAAAATGAAAGATTCAACATTTAAAGAGATGCTCAAATATCTAAAGATGGATTGGCTGGCTATCTTATCTGATTGAGCTATGGAAAGAAATTTTGTTTCTATAAGTTATGAAGCTCGTAAGAACTTCGATTTATTTTCAACACAGCTTAAAGAAAAGCTACATTTAAATATAAAAAATTATATATAAAAATGATCTGAAAAAGTACGACGATCTAATCAATAAAGCCGGTCTAAAATTATGATCTAAAGAAGGTGAACTAAAAAACAAAGTTAATCTAATAGAAAACGCAGAAATATTATTATGAATATGAAACGCAAGCAAGCCCGTTGTATTCTTGATATAAAATGAACGAATTTTTGTTCTTAAATATTTCTCTATTAGGATGATCTTATCCCATTTTATCTTATATATTTATTATTTATTTTATTTATTTATTTATTATTTTATTTATTTATTTATTATTTATCTAGGTCTTTAATTTCAAGAACAATTTCCATCATGTATCAATGGGTTCGACATGTAATGGTAGATTGGCAATGGGCATATCATTGCCATAACGCTCTCCCTTAGCACACAGATTCTTGTATTGTTTGTCCATTTTATAGCATTCCTGACCGGGCCTTGAGCTCCACTTGTAAATGGGTTGCTCAGGTATATTCATGGTGGCAAAGGTGCAGGTGAATAGAAAATACTTAAAGCCCGTGTACGTGTACGTTAAAGCGGCACAACCAAAGTGCGAATTCTTCTCATTGATGAGCAGAGCGCTGCGGTATACACTTCTATTCGTAGGGCATAGAGTATAGAACATGATTAGATCTTTCGATAGGCAGGGGCTGGAAATCATCTCATTTACTTACTCTTTCGCATAGAAGCTGGGCAATCGGAGTGTGTCGGATCGTGGTATGCCAGTCACCTGACTGAACCATCCCTCGACCATGGTCTTCATGTGGGACAAATCGGTGATTGCCATTTGGGCAGTGGGTCTTATCGCCTCGTCGCCAATGCTGCCAATATAATAAAATAATGGAGAGTTCATGCATTGCTGGTTGCGTATACGACAATGGCTTAATTTGAGTTTGGCGAACCAGGCCAACTCTTCCGACCACATCATACGGGCCATGCGACCGGCCACTGGTAGATTTCTATAGCCCCCTCTGGCCACCTTATTTCGCACCGTATTGAACAGGCCATCGAGCGTATCTTTATACTTTTGCATATCTACAAATTTCGTACTGTGATGGCAATCGTGACTGAGGGTCTATCGAAAAGATAAACATTTTTTCAGTTATCGTATACACCTTTGTGTGTGTGTGTGCGTGTGTGTGGGGTAGGGTGGAGAATAACTCACTGCGTTCTTATGGCAGGCTATGTTGTCGGCTTTACAAAACTTTGAGGTGCAATATCGATTATCCTTGGGTCGATGTTTTTTACACTCAACCATCGTGGCAGTGGCTGCCAGCCAAATTATTAGTATCGGCAGACTGATCCTCATTCTAGCTCGAACGAAACTCAATGACTATGAAGCGTACACTCGATGTAGAAGCAATTTATAGACATTTTCTGAACTAAAAACTGGAACAGCTTTCTAACACTTGTGTATTAGTGCACCGCAAAAACAGCTGTTGGGACTTGATATCTAATGGCAGGTACTTCAACATACATATGTACATGTATGTATGTATGTATGTGCATATGTATGTGCATATGTATGTGTGGATCGCTTAGGGGAATGAATGCTCATTCTTTGTTTCACGATAAAGTTTGGTAGTTTAAAATTAAATTTGTATGTTGATTTGCTTTAGAATTTCATTTAAAATTTACAGCTGGTTGGAAAGCTGTTCTGTTGAACCCCCATAAAAACCAGCAAGCCTGTCGAAAGAGTAGAATATCGATATGATTTCGTAATAGTGATTCTATTAATTTTCAAGCGCTATTTACGATCATATGATATGATATTTTTGGGAAATTTGTTTTAAAAATAATTGGAAAACTCTGCAAATTGTTTTGGAATGAAATTAAACGAAAATGCATTTTTATGAATTATTTTTTATTTTATTAATGTATATAATTATAATTTAAGCCTATTGCAAAGGGTAACTACAACTCCACCAATAATTTTCTACTTAAATTTGTATTCCTCGATAAAGATTCATATATTTTTTGTTGTTGTTTTTAAGCAATGATTGAAAAAACGTATATACTCTGTTTTGGGAAAGAGCATAAATGACAAATGGCAATGACGTTTTGCCAGATGTCTAAGCCGATTTCCGCCGTTGTGGAGTTTTCAGGAGAAAGCAAATGCAAAAATTTGTTTATTCAGCAGCTCAGTCCGCAGGCTTTGGTCTTTTGTGTTGGTGCGAGTACTCTTCGAAAATTCTAAGTCCACCGTAGTCTCTTTCTATCTCTCTTGTTCCGAGCCACACAGAAATCAGCATTCTCTTTCGCATTGCCAGCCTCAAACATCACTTATTTAGACGGCAGCACTTAGAGTTATCACCCAACCAGCAGCAGCAACAGCAGCAGCAGCAGCATTTGCTTTAATTTAATATGCTAAAATACAAGGGGTGGGGGTGGGAAAGGGAACACGAACCAACGAACACCCACCCGCATTCGTATTCGCAAATCAAAGCTTCGCGATGCGACCACAAAACTTTTGCCGAAAAACCGCATAAAGCTCAAAGGGAAAACAAATGGGGTGGGGAGGGGGGGGGGGGGGATTTACAATGGTTGGTGGAAATGGAAGATTTAACATGCTAATCATAAGTAAACAAAGAAAACTAATACGAAAAGAACTTGTTGAAGGCTAATAGGTGGGATGAAAGAGAAGCTCGTACAGCAGATTTCCCACTAACATAATATCCCAATTGAAAATAGAGACCGACCAATCAATCACTGTAAAAACCAATCAATATTTATGCGGAAATCCCACAACAAACTGTTGCACGGGATGGATGTCCATCAAAAGGTAAACAATTTTGACCCAGTTCTAAAAATGGTTTTAAATCGGATCAACATTACAAAGTATGTAATAAATAACACACACACACAAAAACTGAGTTTTGAAGTGCATTTCAATGTTAAAGCCAATTGCAGACCTCTCCTCTCCATTAACTTATGAGCTTTTTTGCCAACCGAAAAAGTCCCCACCGCCGCAATGAAAATATTCAAATGAATATAAATTAAAATTGAAATATAAATGATACGATACAAATGGAAAACAAGGCAAGGAAAATAAAAGGCAACATAAAATTCAGAGAGAAAAAAACTTGCCAACATTTAAAATATTTACTGTCCTGTTTCTGGCCATTGTGGAAATTGTAAAACATCGAAGAGAAACAAACAAAAAATGAAAGATTGGCTTACATTAATGAAACGATGCTTTGCATACCCATTAAATGCTTATACATTGACATACATATGAAGCTAAAGCTGCTACTTGCTTTCACAGTCGAAAAGAGTTTCCATTATTCCGTACATAATCGTATATGTATCTTTAAACCCCATATACTCGTACCCCTCACAGGGTATATCAAAAAGATTCAATCGCATTTCCATCCACAAAAATGTATTTATTTATCTCCTCTTTTATAAAGTTTTTTCCTTGTGTATAAAAATGCTTACAAACGTGTTTATTTTTTTAATTGCTCACCAGTTTTTGTGTGTGCCTTTGCATATAATTTAATTTTATTTATTACGGCCTTACGACAAAAAAAAAAAGAACCCACACGAACAACAAAAAGGAGGAGTTGAAGCTCGCAATAAATTTTAAATATTTCAACTATTTCTTTTTGTTGTTGTTGTTTTTTTTATTTTTGTGTGTTGTTTGAAGGATATGTGGGGGGCACTCTTGCAAATTCGTTATCAATAAAAGTTATTTGTGTTTTCTATAGAATTGAGTGTGTGTGTTTGAGAGGGCGTTGATCAGCTTCCGGCCAAAATGAAAATTCAATTTTCATACGAAGAAAAAAATATATGTACTATGCAATAAATGGCGTACCTACTCTTTTCATAAACAAATATTTACATATGTGGGTACATATACGCAATGCACAAAAATCACTAAATTTAATAGAGTATGGATTCACTAATATTTAATAAATTCAATTATCGCTTTGTTTTTACTAAAAAGTATTTGATGGGGGAGCAAATGCAAAGCAAATATTTGTTTTTGTCAGGGAATTTTGTGCATTTATTAGTTGAAAATTGTGCTGGGTATGAGAGAAGACGGGTTGGTTTTTGGTTGTATTTGGTTGTTATTTTTTCTATGCACACTCCCACGCAATTCCTTCTTATCTTAATTATTTTAAACTCTCACAGCGTAGTCGGCTGAGTTTCCAGTCTGAGTGTGTGAGTGTAAGTTTTTGACGCTTGCCTTAATTCAGGTACCGCGCGCATTCTTCTCATTTACGCTTTGTGCTGTGGGTCCGCTCTGCTGCTGCGCGCCACGGCAGAGGCCCATTATAGATGCTTTTAAAAGCTTGTCCACGGTTCATGCCGAGATGCTGATACCAGCGCGCGCTTACTTGTGCTGCGCATTGCCGAGGATCAGGTGAAATGTTTTAGAAGACTTATGTATATAGCAAAAAAGCAAACCAAAATAAATAATAAAACGATTTACTTTTCAAATACAAAACAAGGAACTTATTCAAAAGCTTATTAAAAATATTTTATTTTTTTTTTTTTGTAAAGTAGCATTCACGGATGAGCCAATATCTTTAAAGTGGGTCCCATAGAACTTAAAAGTAGCACAAATTGTAGACGGTGGGCGAGCTATCTGTACTCTTGCGATGCGATAGCTCCTTGCCTTGTTTCTTGGTGGGCTTGGGTGGCAGCTTGTTTAGAGGCTCGTCCAGGCGCACCGGCAAATAATCGGTCACTGATTCTGATTCTGATTCTATTGGCGTCTCCAACGGCGGCAGCAGTCGGCGACGTATCACAACGGGCGCTGGCCCTCCAACAACGCCATTGGTGGGCATCTCCTCCCTGATGTCCTCAATCTCGCGAAAGAGTCGATTTAGCCTCACTTGTCGCACCTTCATATCCATGAGGCGGTCACTCATCCTCTGCATGCGCGCGTATTGCTCACGGAGACGCTGCAGCTTGTCACTCCGCTTGCTGTAGTTGCTGTACATGCTATAGATGTACGGCGACGACTTGTCTTTGCAGAACATCTGGCTGTGCAGTCTATCGGCTTAAAAAAAATAATTTTATTTTAAAATTACACTTGAGAATTTAAAAGTTGTTTCGATGTGAACGGAACTAAAATGTATGCACATATGTGATTAAAGGTTAAACTAATGAACGTGGCGTCCAGGGCCTACTATAAATATCACTTGCAATAGTCAAGGAATTATTGAAGTTTTGGTTATTGGGGTATCTTAGTGTCAAGTCATGTGTTCCTCGACACAAACGACTGCTTCTTGGCAGCCAGCTCTTCTTCCTCTGTCTGGGAAACGTTCTTCTTTCAATGACAACTCTTTTGCACTTATTTCTGGTCCATTAAATATTTACAATGAGGCAAATAAATCAAAGTGACAACAAACAGAGAGAGAGAGAGAATAAGAGAGGCTTTTACTTTTACTGATTTTCGCTTTACCAAATATTTGCATACCATTCCACTGCCCCCACTGTGTCTCTGGAGAGACTATTTCCCTTTGACTTGACGTGAAAGAGTTGTGGGGGGGGGGGGGGGTGGAACTTGCTCATTATTTGCATTAAGTCTTTTGCCTGCACAGAATGTTCTACCATCGAAGTGGCTAAAAAGTGTCGACTTTGGCCATTGGCATGCCCATTATCTTGTAATTATTTAAGTGCCTTCAATGAGGCACCTTATTGATGATGACAGGGAGCCAAAGACCTGTGTCCAGAAACACCGCCCATCGCCATCGCCATCGCCATCGCCAGCATCAACACATCCTTCAAAAAACCCCCCCCCCCTCTAGCGATGGCAATAAGTGCAAAAAATCAAAAAGCCATAAAAACTTTACACAATCGAAACGTGCAAAAGTTGATTTTTGCCAACGCCAGCAGCAAAAGCCAAAGAATCCCCCACGTCTACTCAGAGGCGAGAGTTCTCTCGTCCTCATCCTGCTGTACTGCTCAACAAATGGAATCGAAGGGAAAATAAAAATAAAAATAACAAATAAAAAAAAAACGAGAAGGAACGTGTGAGTCGTTTCTGGGGACACGACTCTACTTATACCCGTACTCAGTCAGTATATACATACACTTTTGAGCTTATGATTTTTTAGAATTTTAGAAAAAAAAAAAAAAATTTTACATTTTACATTTTTTTGCTACATATGCTATCTACATCTACATATAAAATGTCTATTATACATCTAATATGTAGATTGTACATGTTTCATTCATATTCTACATCTCCTCCGCTAGGGGTTGCTCGCGCACTGAACGCGGCAGAATGTGCGAGCGAGAAGGAAAATGACTTGCTTGAATGCGTCAGGAGGGGGAAGGGGAAGCAACTGAAAATTAATTTCTTCATTCTGGCTTTAATTATGATCCGATCTGATTCAGATTCGGCAGTCTGGTAGATATGGGCATTCTCTACGACACTGCGTTTTTAGTTTTATCGTATCTTTAAAAATGTGCCTGCCACAGATTTTCGTCCTTTGTGGAGGCGGAAGGGGGCGGGGCGAAATTTTGAAATACACTTGTAGCAGTGTGATATCACATGAGTCTGGAAACAAAATTTGGTTCCCCTAGCTTTTATAGTCTCTGAGATCTAGGCGCTCAACAAGACAGACAGACGGACAGACGGACAGACGGACAGACGGACAGACGGACAGACAGACATGGCTATATCGACTCGGCTATTGATGCTGATCAAGAATATATATACTTTATGGGGTCGGAAACGTTTCCTTCTCTGCGTTACACACATCCACTTTTACCACAAATCTAATATACCCCTTAACTCTTTTTTGAGTACGGGTATAAAAACAGACAACAAAAAATCAAAGTGCGACCTGGCCGGAGCATGTGAAAGTAAAGTTTTCCTGGTATGGGAAGCTAATACGAGGACAACGTACAGGACGACCATCCAGGAAAGAGTGTGGAGAGTGGAGTGGGCAGAATTCAGAGTTGGGGAAAATCGACCCATAAAAAAACGAGAGCAAATAAAAAGCGCAAGAAAATTACTTTCCGCTCTAAAAAATGTTCTGCAAAGGGCGACCACAGTGGGGCGAGAACAGACAAAATTAAAATTACAAAATACAAAATATATCTTATGATATTCCTACGAATATTTTAATATATTTTTTGAATGGAACATTCCAACTGTTTCCTTGTATTAATATTTTCTTGTACATTCGTTGAGTGTTTTTTTTTTTTCATTGCGAACCACTTTAATTTTTGTATTTTAATTTCTTAAATTTTCCCTGCTGATACCACTGTGTGTGTGTGTGTGTGTGTGTGTGGCAGCAGCGTTCAACGGGACCAATCGGTGGTTGAACCCGTCCTCAAAGTCAAGCGTGTAAAAGTAAGTAAAAGTAAAGTTGCGAGTAAAAACCTTTTCCGTCTTTTCGGCTTTTGCCATCGGCCTTTTTTTTTTTTGAGCCATTATGTACTGACAATTTTCATGATTATGCGCTTACGGGTTACCAGAGACAGAGAGAGAGAGAGAGGAAGAGAAAGAAAGAGTGAGAGAGAGAGAGTGTCCAGCAGGACACTGCCCGCCGTTCCACTCTCTTTGTCCCTTCCTCATCATCATCTCGCAGTGTCCGGTTGAGCGCAGCTGTTAAGCCGTTTCCGTTGGCGTTTATTTTCTTATTTTCTTTTGTTGCTCCACACAGAGATTTCTTTTCTATTTCACGACTTCACTTTGGCGCCTAGTATTGTTAGTATTGAGATACCATTGACAGCGGCACAGGATATGGAGAAGCCAGCGGCAGCTTCATGGTTATGGTTGTCGGATGGATACTGAATGTTTAGCACGACATTTTACGGGTAATTATCGAAAATGTACTCTAGGGGGTATAAGTGAATGGCAGAAAAGCGAATGAAAGATTAAAAATAGGCGGAGAGAGATGTGAAAAAGATTGAAATTATGGAAAGATTATATCGAAAAAGGAATTGAATTAAGGGTAATAGTAATAGGGTTGATACAGAATGTACCGTTAGGGCAAGTTCGGGGCCACCAAATATTGAAGAAACATAAATCACATAAATTTAAAATTAATAAAGAAGTTCTCTTCAAAAAACATTGATTAGCTCTCACCCTGCTACAAAATCATTATCCGCCAAAGGAATTTCAATTATCCAAGCGAAATCGGCTATGGAATCAGCGTTCAGGCAAACATCTTTCTGGTCATAAAATTGTCATAACTGAAAAGTTATTGTGACATTTCCAATAAACGCGGGGGCAAAATGCCAGCTGTGTCTCAGACTCAGACTCCGACTCCGAATCCTTTGGGAATTGGCGTTATGGTGGTTAATTTACTACAATGCCGCGAAAATATGCAACATAAATAATGTTGAGCATTTGACATAAATAACCGAAGGATGCTAAAATTGGCAGGAAAGGGAAGAGAGCTGGAGCACGAGCAGGAGTAAAACCCGAAAGGGAGCAGCAGGAAATGCTAAAGGTCTGGCAGCTGCTGCTGCAGTCGATTTTCGTCTTTCAGTTTTCGTCTCTGGAACTGTAACAATTAATTACTAACTAACAAAGTTCCACGTGCCAGGCACTAAACTTGTACAAGGAGAAGTTTCCCGTAAGGTCTCCAGGACCCAGCCGAACCAAAACCGAAGCGAATCGAATCGAAGGCGACGTTCCAAGTCGTAGACTGTCGCGCACATAAAGCGCTTTTAATTGATTTTGCCCCTGTTACGTGCGATGGCGAATTGGAACTCCCCAACTCCCCATTATAGGGTTCGGTTCGGCAGGCATCCTTCTGCTGCTCCTTGTGCCATTCGTAATCGTTCATTCATTCATTCCAATTGTAGTTAATTAATAAATTATTCCATGCGATTGAACTAACAATGTTGGACTGTGAAAACTTTCACTGCTGCATGGAGTGTCTTTCCAGCTGTCAGCTTTTGTCGTCTACCAGCTTTAGTTAAGTTTTTTTTTTTTGTTTTTTTTTTTGTTTTTTGAAGAGGGTATTACGAGTACATTCAACAGATTACAGAGCAGCAGTAAAAGCCTTATTGAATATATGTACATATATATATATATTCTTTGAAGTGAGACTACAGATGCTAATCGACTCAAATGCTGAAGCTACAACAAAACGGAGGGATTTTTTCGATTCTAAATTGCCAGCTTTCATGAGAACTCTGTATGCTCAAGGGTATCTCATGTTTCGTCCACCGCAAGTGGCTTTCTTTTCTTGTTTTAGCTTGTATTTTTATCTCTCTCATTTACTTTTATTTATTCCTCACTTTATTCCTTACTGCAATTAAACACAATTTTATTATTGGAATGTTTATGTTGCCTGAATGTTGCGTATACGTATACGTACTGTCTTCGCTTTGTTTCGTGCACGAGGCCTATAAGCAACTGCTGCAAATGTTTTGTATACGCACTGTGTGTGCTCTCTTAGCCACAAACTCGTAAATGGTGCGCGTGGCTCTTCGGCAATACCCATATTTCTTTTTTAAAGATACGACCAGAACATAAACATTTAGGATTTAGGCCTGGTCCATGCCAGATAGGATCACGAGGGGTCTGGTGCCTACAGTCTTCTACAGAGAATGGAAGAGTCGACTCTGGCCCTCAATTAAATTTCGTTTTTATTTTATGTCCATCCAAAGGGAGAAACTACTTTCGGCTCAGGTGTGTGCTGCCGCAAATTGGGGGGCGTAATTTCGATTAAAGAACATACAGGAAAGGAAATAAAAGAATAAAACCAAGACTAGTTTCAGCCAAAAAATCCTTAATAAAATATAGAAAATATAAGAAACATCAAAACACATTTTGTTCAAGCATGAACATGTCGATGTACGAGTAGGTTAAGAAAAGATTCTGTACACAAATCTATGTATTTCTAAATTTAAATGAAGTAGTACATAAATTAGATAATTTACGACCGTTTGAAAGAAAGGACAAAGATGTGTGGCAACACATAAGTGGAGATCCCACTTATCGAATGTAGAGCTAAACATTAATGGTAAATGTAGCCGTTCCATTTGTCTAGCGATAAAAATAGCAGATCAATTTACCACATAAATGGTTTTGAAAAACTCATATAAGGCTCTGATTTTGAGAATAAAATTTAGGATTGAATTTACAACTCAACTCGCAAATGTCTAGGCTTTTGCTTTAAGGTCTTAACACATTTAAAATTTTTTTTTGTTTTAATGCGTTTTTCAGAGGCAGCACTTATTTTTTTTTACATAGCCTCAGTATGTTACATCTGGTTGTTATAAAAAGTTCAATTTTGTCGGGTATCAGTGCTATCAGCATTATGGATCATTTCCAAATTGAATTTCAAGAACCACAAAACCAAAAAAATGTTTCACCATGTTCACTTTCATGATAGGATTTCCTTAGAGAAAATATGGAAATATTTTCTGTATAAAAAAAAATATGTATTTCTGGAAGAGAATAATCTCAAATTACCTTGCTTGGCGGGCCAGCAATTGCCGGAGTATTCGTCGAAATTAGACATATAATATGTGTAACTGCCATAAGAACGGCATCCGCTTGGGTGGAACTCGTCTAAGCGATAGTATTCATAGGAATCGCAAGTGCTCTCCCAATTACAGACTACATTTTTTTCAGTATGTACGGTATATAAGGGAGTCGCAGCTCTAGGCTCGTTCATTGAGTTAGAGAGGTTTGATCTGTCCTGTCTATTGCCTGTCTGTAATCATGATTATCCTGAAGTACATCTTCATTTTGATGGTGGTCGTCTCCAGCGTGTATTCTTTTGCTATATATGTGATAAATGAATCAAGAAGAATTTGGGTGCCTCCCGAAGTAAAAACAAGATACAATCAGGGATATTATCGCAATGAAACTAGAACATATACGGAGCCTGGATACTGGAAAGATAGCAAAACGGAATGCACTCTTATTGTGGAAAAAGATAACAAAACTGTACCAGACGGGTATATTGCGCAGAGCACAATGAGTTGTGGACTGTATGGCTGTGAAACTGTTGGGCCTAAAGCATTTGGTATATTTTACTAGTAAGTATCCCCCAATAGTATTTTGCTGGCTGATTGTCTATCGAAAATCGATCTTTTAATTTCAGTTGCCAACAGCCAGCTTTTTTTGCGGAATGTGAAACTACTGGAGTGGACACGACCATAGATTTTCCTCAATGTTGCTGGGTATGCGTCAAAGAGAAGGAATGTGATAAGGTCGAAAATTAACTCTAAGGGCGAAATAAAATATGCATTTTAATTGTAACGTATTTTTGATGAAATTTCATATCGAAGACTTTCTCTCCCTCTCTCTCTCTCTGTCGCGCTACTACACTCAAATAAGCGTTACTCAGTAATGACAACTACTTCGAGTGTCGAATTTCGAATTTCGAATTTCAATCAGATCGGGAATTTAAAGGCCAGGGAGTTTGTGTACCCAGGAACCGAAACACATGTGTATAATTTACACAGAAGAACTCAGAGAGACTCAAAAGTCATTATCAGCAGATTACTGTCCGAAGAGAGGGAGGAGCAGTCGGAGGTGGCTGCCACACACACAAGAGAGCACTCTTGCCATGTGCTTGCAACTGCATCTCGGAGAGTCATTAGCAATGTGACCCAGAAATAGGATGAACCTCCTAACCACATAAAATTGTATGCTGTTTGCCATAATAAATTTAATTAAAAAATCAAATGGACTGAGAGAAGGAGAGAGAGAGAGATCAGGAAAAGAGGCAGCAAAAGTGGGGAAAAGCACTGGAGTCAACAGAACATTAGCCACAGTCGCAGTCCTAGTCCTTGTCCAACTTTTGTTGCCTACGAAATGTGCAGCTGCCGCTCCAGTAATATTTGGGTCAACTTCTGACCGACATTTGATCCACTTAATGGCCAGTAGAATGTAGAATGGCAGAAGGCACAGGCACAAGTCAAATGGAATTATCAGACTTTATAAAATTGCCTTCCTTAGATTTTTAAGAGCAGTTTTTGGACAGAAAAATATCCACCTCAGAGTCAAGTTAAAACATTTGTTCAATGGCCTTCCTTCTCTTCACATCCTTTTTTATCAATTTGTTAAGGATTTTTCTTAGTTTGGCAGCTGGCAGATAATTACGTGCGAAGAAAATGAGTGAAAGAAAATGCCCGGCTAATCAACTGGAAAGTTGTTGAAACGTTATCGCCCCGAAAGGTGTTGGCTTTCCCCAATACAAAATCGGAAATGAGCAAAATTCAGAGAAAAAACTGAGTTTTTTCCACTGATTGGCACCATAATGAAAGATGAGATGAAGAAAAAGAGCAAGAAATGAAAAGGTGTGGGATGAATACTTACGTGGCGATTTATTAAGAGAAGAATTACTCTGACCTATGAGTATAAAAAACGAAAGATATTTTTTAAGAGTTGTCCTGGAGTTACCGCTTTCTGTATAAATTACTTTGATTTTTCTCAATAAAAATTTCTGAAATCGACACTAAACCTAAACTTTAATTTTTGTTGTTATTTAATGAATTTACTAAAGCTAAACTTAATTTTTTTTTTATAATTTACTGAATATTTTTATGATTCTCGCTCAAAGGTGCGATCGCATCTTATCCAAAAAGTTGTCAATAAATTCATCTTCTGTGTGATTCGAACGCCTGGCCATATAGACACTCAACTGGTAATGAGTCTCATCATTCAAACGTTTATGGGCGGCTGCCTTGTACAGCCAGGCACGTAGATATTTCGGATCCAAATAGGTTAAAATATAATCACAATCCATGATGGCACGCTTGAATTCACGTCGTCTACAAAAGAACGTACTTACAGATACACATCTCTATAGAAATCAACGATAAAACCTACTTGAGATAGCATAGCGCACGATTTACATAGAGTACAGGGGTATCATTGATGGTGGCCAGACCTTTGGTGTACTGCTGTGCGGCCACTTCGTAGTTCTCCTTGCGATACTCATGATTGCCCAAACGGCGAAAGTTTTCGGCCACGCGCTCCCGCTCAATTCGCACCAGTTGGCGGCTCTTCAGATCCTGATCGATCTGACGCATGAATGTAAACTGATTTGTGTTGGCCGTGACCTTGGTCTTTGACCTGCTACGCTTATAGCTGCTGCCATAAACCGATCGACTGGTGACCATATAGTTGTCTTCTGTTAGTTTTTCACTGTAGTTTTTCTTTTCCTTGGAAGCGGCGCCGGCACTTAAGGAAATCCGGTTTATATATTTTATGGGGAATACGAAAGTTGAATAAGGATACCTACTCTGCTTTGTTGGCATCGCCAATGGCTTCCATAAATTGTAGCACATCATCGACCGTTGATTGGCCGTGTATGAATTCTTCATCCGTTTGGGGTTGCTGATATATGATATATACTGTTTTATTCTCTGGATCGGGTTTTTTATCTGAACTTCTCTTTGTGTGTGTCATTTTTGATGTTTGGCGGTTATAATCTACGATCTCTATTTTGTTCTAACCGTGTGAGCAGCTGGTAAATGTGTACAATATTTTGAAATTGACTGAAAAACCAATGGCAGTCATGATTTAATATTATATTCGGTTTTAAACAGACAAAAGAAAGAGCATAGTTATTTTTAATATATATTTTTTTATTTAATATTTTATTTTATATATGTATATATATATTTACTTTTATTATTGTGAAATATTTATGTTTAGTTAAAGTGGTGGGCCTTTATATTCGACTTTTTCCAATCTTTATCTCTTCCTTATTTTGCATATTTTCCTTTCACTCGCTGCCTTTCCAGATTTACCACTCTGTCTCCCCACCTCGCTGCCTTTCTCCTCCCTTTTCTCTGTTTCAACCTTTGCCTACCATCTCGTAATTAAATATTCTTCTTAAATTAATCGACTTTTTGCATCAGCAAATGAAATTGTCGCAATCCCAAAAATCTTTTACGCTTCACCACAGAAACCCGGAAACCCGAACCCCCCCCACCCCACTACCCCTCATCACATTCCTCTTTTGACTCTAAACCAATGGAAAATTTCTTTATGATTTGGTGCCTGATTTTTGCATAAAATTTGCATGCGCCACTGGCGATTTTTAATTTCAATTAAAAATGCATCATTGCTTTTGCGATTTTAATGCACACACAATTAAAAGCAGCAAACGGCAAGTCCAGGAAATTGCCAGGCGAAAATGCATTTAAAAAATCCATGGTGGAAAATCCCGAATTCAAATGCAAAAATCAATGAGCAATTGTGAATGTAAATTGCGCAAAAAAAAGCTGCCGAGAGAGGGTGCTGCGAAAAGCAAAAGAATTAGCTTGAGAGTATAGCGAAAAGCATTGAGAATTAAATCAACTGAATGCAAATCAAACTAATGTCAGTTTACGAGAATGTGCTCGGATTGACAACATACGCACAGCAGAAAAATTTCCTAACGCTAGGGCGTATGTAATGTATGTATGTATGTACCCTTTGATCAGAAAAAACACACAGGTCATAGTCTGTACATACGAAAGTATGGGGAAAAACAGAGATTTTTCGAATGGAAAATTGTCGGATTTAGGTAGATTGAAAGGAGATTGTGGCTTGAGGAGTTGTCAGGGGAGGGGCAGGGGAGTTGGCAGGGGAGTACACCCTGTGCGTGTGAGCTGTAATAGTCGCGCTTTTTCAATGCAAATGTCGAGGCATTAATTTAGTAACAAAACACCACTTCACACCCGTCCCCACCACCACAACCACTACCAAGACCACCAGAGACTGTCAACAGATGGTGACGCCACCGCGTTAAATGAAAATACTTTTATAGAACCCCTCCTGGGTGGGGGTGGATGGTAAAGATTGGCAATGTTTGGCAACAGCTTAGCGCACAATCAATTAAACTGTTTTATTGACACTTTTTCTTGACACACAGATACATACAACGCCAGACACACACTTAAGGCATTGATACACACACACACAGGCACACTTGAGGCACAGACAGACATTGGATATATGAAGTACATAAAGAAGCTAAAGAAAAGCAAACGGAAGCGGAAAATGGGGTGGGTAAAACCAGTAGAAATTATCTAACCCATGAGAAAGATAACGACATTTGGTTACACTGAAAGAAAAGGCAATCAGCCAAAGGTTAGGCGACTCGGACAAAAGAATTTTAATGGGAAAAAGTCAAGCTCAGAAAATTTAATAATTTAAATTTAATTTAATTTTTATTTATAAACAGAATAAATAAACATAAATATGGATGTTTATTTTACATTCATATTTTAAGATATTCTTAATACATTTATATTTCAGATTTCCGCCTATAACTTTTCTCCCGACAACATGCAATTTTAGGTAAGCCCCAAAAAGTATGCTTAATTTTGTTTATCATTAGATTCCTTTGCAAATCAAAGAAATTCAGCTCAAAAAAAATGTCACCCCTGATATGTTTAATTTGGTTAAATACCGCACCGTATATTGCCCTGAAATCCATATGCCTTATTGACATACCCTATATAATGGCTTGAGTAGCAGCTATGTTGAAGAAAAGAAAGTAAACTGTGCAATTAGTTGACTTAACTTCTATGACACACAATTGGCAATTTATTGGGCAGCACACAAAGGCAGCATTTTTTTTTTTCTTTTTCATTCCCCTGCACACCCCACAGTCCATACAATTTCCTTACCCCAGCACTTCAGAACTCAAGCAAACGGAAATTGAGTGTCCTTGCAGAAGGGATTTATTTATGGTTCATAGATTAAATACTAATTAACACCCAACCACACACACACACACACACATACACACACACACAACAGACAGAAAACATTGCCATTTGATTTATGTCCCTCATCGTCCAGCCCTGCCCTGCCCTGCCCCACCCTATGGTGCGTGTGGTGTGTCCTTTAAGGATTAGAGATGAGAGACAGAAAAAAGAATAACAGCGGCTGCCCCATAAGAGACCAACATTTGCCTGGACCATTGACCAAGGACCCATTATGCGTATCTTTTGTTGGGATGTGCCCGACGCCGCCGCCGCTTAATGCCATAAATTCTGCTTAAATTATTGGGGTTGGTTAACACACTTCGTTTTTGGTTTCAGTTTCAGTTTCGCATTTACGTTTTATGCTCTGTTATTTGTTCTTATTTTTTGTGTGGCATAACCTTAAAGGTCTTTGCCTCTCCAGACGCAAATTACCATACAAATATTGATAGAATATGTGAGTCAAACGGGGGGATACTTGTTGGTAGTAAAAGAGTATGGAAGAGTATTAGTTTGGTTTTTGTGTTTTGTTTGTTTGTTGGTTTTGCGATCTGTTGAATATAATTGTCAGAATTAAGAAAATAAACTTCTAGTTAGCATTTTAAAATTATTCTGTAATGTGCTACTGTCAACTTTAAGAAGAACGATTATTTAGTTAGGGTATTTTTTAGTCTTTAACATTCCACCTATTTTGATTTTTTTTTTTTTTGCCACAGCAACAATCTCCCAGTCATTGTTCCCTCGCAGTGCCTGCCAGTCACTCGCCAAAAGAATGGCCAGAGGTGTTGGTGGGGGGTTTTTTTTTGGCTTCAGTTGTTGATGCTGGGGCTGGCTGAGGCTGGAGTTTGGGTTTTCCCTGTTAAATTTATGTGTCTGCATGTCGCGGCATGCAGCACGCGTAAAAAACCTGCATAAGAATCAGATGCGTTCTGCTGGGGCATGAATCGTATGGGGAGCAGCATAATCAAGCGACAGAGACAATGCCCATAAAGTCGGCTCTCGATTCTGTTGATTAACGAGTGTCCAGTCCCGTGCTCCACCATTCCCAATCCGCCCACTCGCCACGCTTTTGATCTGCCGCCCAACTGATTATGGTATTTATCAGCCTATGCAAATGAGTGCATGAAAATGTTTCTCTGTTCGTTGCATTTATGCACTTTTCTTTTTTTTTTTATATATATATTTTGGTTATATTTTTAAGCCTTGCCTCATTTGAATGCACTAATTAAATGTTCTTTAACGCGAAAATCGTTTAAAAATCGCTTGCAATTTTATGTGCGTTTCATGATGACAACAGAAGAGTCGCAGAGAGAAACAGAGAGAGTGATTGGGAGAGTGTGGGGAAATATGCAAGCCTTTTCAGACCAAGTCATTCACAATATAATGGTAAAAAGAAAAATGGGGAAAAAATAAAGAATATTTTAATATATTTTAAATTTATAATCTTAATATTTGATTCATTTAAAAAAAAGTTGGTTAATTATTAAACAGTTATCGAGACGCAATGGAAATTTATTAATGATTTATCGAAAATATATAGATTAGTATTGATTAGTTTTAAAATATTAATCGATATTTAATAATTAAGTTACCAAACATGTATTGAAAAGATATAGAAATTGTATGGATTAGTTATCAAACATTTATCGACATTTAATCGATCATTAAGATACAAAATTTGGTTCCTTGCATTAATATTTGATGGAATACTTCATCTCAAAATAATTATTATATAACGATATGTTTTGCCTTTATCACTTTATCTAAAAACAATCGATAACGAATAAAAAACACCGTTCCCATGTGAATGAATATATAGTTTTGTGCCACACAAATGGCAATTAAATATAAATTATACGATTACTGGCCCCCACACATCAGCACGCACTGCGCGACTTTCTTTCACTCATATTCCCCCACTACCATTGGCATTTGGCCGCTGATTAAACCATTGTTGCATTACGTATGCATTTTGTTAGTGGAAAATCGGCTACTTAATCGAATTAATTAAATTTTCATAACAACAAGCAGAGCAGAGGAAATGCCAAAATCGTGGAAAAGTCCACGCAAAAAGACTGCAACAATTTCAAGTTGAGCGCGCACAAAAGCCAACCGCATATCAAAAATGCATCTAGGTAAAGGAATTCAACGGTGTGTACGTGTATGTCGGTGTGTACAATGTACATCTGTACATCTGTATGCATCATTAAATGCAAATTTATTTAAATTTCATTATAGAAAATAATCAGAGTTCAGCTATGGAAATCGGTTACGGTAATCGCAACCAGCGCAAAACGCGTTTAATGTTTTCACTTTGCACCAATTAAATTCACAGATGTAACACACGGACACAGATACAAAGGATACACGAAAACGTAAAGGGTTGGAGGGGTGGGTTCTGTCAGTGGACAGTGGGGCGGTGGGGCGGTGCATCAGTGTGTAAATGCAAATATCCGCAATTAAGCAATAATAATAAGCATCATTAATAAATCATTGCGAATGCAACAACAACAACAACAACAGCGACACAAAAACACCAACACCAACAAAAAGTGTATGTGAAATGTATGAATAAATTGAATGCCATGGGCATTCATTCGGCTCAAAGTGTAGCAATATGGTTTGGGGTTTTGTGCTTCTCCCTCTGCTCATTGAAAACCATTGACGGTTGGTGTGCTATGTGTCGGGCATTGCAATCCTTTTTGTATTCCCCCCACTGAGTAGTGCAATTAACATTTTCTCTGCTCTCAGTATTATTTAAAAACTTTTGCGCCAAGAATGACAGAATGGAATGAAAGCTTTTT